TATTAAAATTCTGATTTCGGGAATTTTTAGGTGCAGTTAAAGCCAATATTTTAGTATACGATAATAGACTTTAACTACACTTAAAAGTTCCAAAAATCTGAATTTTATAAAACCAAAATTTAACCAAATAAATGGAGTGAGCATGCTTAGTGAATCATCCTGTATATGTATACCTATAGGCTATAAGCATGTACAGTGGAAAAAAACAAGCTGACATAATTCGCACGTTGAGTGGACCACTGTTGTAGGTGATAAGTTTGGAAGGTAGAGGGAAAATTGAATGTATATCTGCACGCAAAGTTTAATAATTGCTAACGAAAAACGATCTGAGCGGAGTTTACGGTTATACGTGTTTTGAAAGGCCGTCACATTTATGAATAGAAAATAATATATTTCGTACATTTTTCCGACTTCCTACGTTTTTCCCAGGTTTCCTCAATTATTAGGAAAACCCCTGGGGAAATCAATAAACGACTTCTTCAATGTACCATTCCAGTCAAATTTCTTTTCAAAAAAAGTGCTAAACTTCAAATTGGAACAAAATTTCTGGTATAAAAGTTGTTCATTGAAAAAAAAAATAAACATCATTGTAAAACCAATACATTTCACGCTCCGCTTAGATTCTTAAATGTGTTGATAGCAAAAATCTGCAATATTGTGATTTATTGAGTGCGAGCCAATACTGTGCCATATCTGATATCTCGCTCATGCTATCCGAGACCCGAGAACGTCCCTCGGAATCAACATTTATTTATTTATATTTACTTTTCGCCAAATAGCATTCACGGCATTACAGATTCACATTGTTTTGCTATAACAATGAATACTGTAAACATATAGATAAAGATATAAGATATAGGTATCTGGCGTATGATACTATTCAGATAAAAATGGTGAAAAATAAAACAAACAAAAAAGTGAGATCCTTATTGGCGATTCGAATTAAACTGCTGAGACTTTGATAGGAGGATTGGGCAGATAATTTGAAGAATACATGAGAATACATGAGAATACATGAAAAAAGCTATATTTGGTCAAAAAAGTGGGAATCCTGAAGTTGATTTCAGAAACCAGAGAAAGTGAGTCGACCAGATTGGTAAACAACTTAGCTAGAAGAAGTAGGCAGTGTCTAGATGACGGTGATCCGCAAGGCTGGACAAACCAAACACACGGGCAACAGGCACATAATCGTGGGAATATTTGATATGAACGAGACCTATCGGAAAAACTTTCTTTAAACGCCCTCGTTCATAAGACTTAAGGCTTATGAGGCACGTGTACGGGTCCCAAACAACGGAACCATATTTGAACACGGATTTCACCAGAGAACAGTAAAGGTTAAAGAATGAAGAGAATAAATTTTAATTTCAGACCTACACCCTAGATATTTGAAAGCTTTACAGGTTATATTTTTAATGTGAAGTCTTGGGCACAGATTACTAGACAGACGGAACCCAAGGTTACGAAGCTAACTGTACACGAAATATTATCAATGTTATTATCAAAAGTAATAATTTTACGTAAAGCTGATTATTTTTACGGTTTTGTAAACAATTCAATAATCTAATAGCTTAAAACGTGTTTTGACGACAGTTACCGTCCGACCAACCTATAATACCTTTAAACCACCTTACGTAGGTATATATGGAATAAAATCGGATGTATTGAAATCGGTTTCAATTCACGATTAAAGTGCAAGTACACGAATTATTCATTTTTGTAATTTTGTACAATCGTTAAAAAATGTGTACGTACAAAACAGCCGCCCACCTTGGCGCTCAGTGTAACTACCTATACAGTACACACTACACACGAATCATTAATCACAAAATACAATCACAGCGATCCTCGAATAACATAATAATGAATCTATATCGTTTAACTCGTATATTAATCATCCGTGTCCATGTGGTTTGTTGTCGGATCGGATGATGTAATAATTTGTATAGTATACTTGTCGAACTAAAATTATTATAATACGCATTATAATAAGTATAGATGTACGCACCTACATACATTAAAATAATGGCAATAACGAGATAAACATTGAAAATATGCAATAAAATTCCTTGAATTCGTCTATATATATATAATATTTAATATAATTATGGTATAATTATAATATAATATATAATATTCGTGAATAACTTATTATTTTGTACTGCTGCAGATAAAATGGGACAAAAGATAAGATATTTTCCTTTTAGGACAAAAGATACTAAAAAGATAAAAAAAAATTTGCATGATGGGTGGGCCACTGTTGTAGGTCAAATTTGAGAAGGTGATACTATGGATATAGAGGGGAGTTTATTGTATATCTGTACGCGGCGATTAATCATCGCTAACTAAAAATGATTCTGAACAGAGTTTGGTTGTACATATTTTTTTTGTTTTGCTGCTGACACTATTTCTTTGATTAATAATTGTCGATTAGATGGAATATTATACTGCATTAATTGTTGAGAAATTTAATTTTCTTGTACATTATTTGAATTTATTTTGTAACACTTGAAAGTTAGTTCTTATTTCTGACAACCTATTTTAAATTTTTTTTTTAACTGAATATTTATTCGATTTTTTCCATAGTTGTTATACATTATACATTATACGTGATATAACTATACCAGAGAAGCATAGAAAATACAAAACCAAAACTACTTGTTTTGATGGTCATTTCCGGCATATATACTGTTCATTACACATTACAATTATGAAAACTTTACAACATTACAACTAAAAAAAATTTTCGAAAATGTAAAGTTGTTGTAAATACTGCACAAAAATGCAAAAATAAAAAATTATAAACATACTCAACAAAAAATGCATAGTATACACATACAAGTAAAACCAAGTAAACTAGACAAACTAAAACAACTACGGAAACAAAGTCAAATAAATATTCAGTTAAAAAAATAATTTAAAAATAGATTATCAGAATCAAAAACTAACTTTCAAGTGTTACAAAATAAATTCAAAAATGTCCAAAAAGATTCAATTTCTCAACAATTAATGCAATATAATATTCCAACTAATCAACAATTATCAATCAAAGAAATAGTGTCAGCAGCAAAAAAAAAACAAAATCCAAAAGGAAACAGGTACACGGAAGAATGGATAACACTTAGCATATTACTCCATATCATATTTTAGTTATTTTTTTATGCGTTATATTCAATTACTGCCATTGATATGTATAAGAATTATGATAAATTATTTATTTATCATAAAATCGTTATGACAAGAAATTTTTTGATCTAATTGCAAAACACTTTTAATCAAACCAAGATTATCAAAAACATGGTTTATTGATTTTGGATGAAATTTCTTTACGTGAAAGTATTTCAGTAAATACTATTGCACTTAAATATAGTTGTCTAATAGATTTTGGTGACGAAGAAGACTTAAATGATTTACCAAAAGCAAAATGTTTGAAATATTAAGCTATTCAAGGTTTAGTATTCTTAATTCAACCTTTAGCATATTCGTATACACAGCCAATTGCTGTATTTGCCTATAATGGTCCAGTTAATGGTTTAAAATTGACACTATTAATAATAAAAGCAATAGTCTTGTTGAAAAACGCTAGTACCAAAGTTCATGGACTGGCTTCAGATGGTGCGCAAACGAACAGAAAACTATGGGGCGGAACTAGGTAAAAATATAGTAAAATAAGTGGAAAATTGAACAGTTGCAAATGTCACATAGAGAATTTTGTAGATGAAAATAGAAAATGTTTTATATTTTCTGATACACTACATTTGTTTAAGAACGTGAGGAATCGCTTGAATAATAACGGACAATTAATGGTAAATATTGAACTTAAATGTGGATATTACTCAATAGGTATAGTGTTTAAAAATGTTAAACACTCAATTTCTATATATTAGGTATTTTGTTGTTAATAATTTGAAGTATCTACCTAGTTATGTAAACTATAATTACTTATAATGACAAGTATAAAAAGTATTAATAATTCAAAATAACAAATATGAAAAGAAAAAATTAGTATTTTGCATTTAAAAACCATTGTATATACATTGTGTAGTTATATAATATACATTTATTTAAATTTTTTTATTGGTCGATCCAAACGATGGCCTTATAAAATGAGAGCATTGTGAAATTCTTTGAAAATTTTACCAGAAGCATAATACTCCTGGACTAGAACATATAGATATAGAAAACAAATTTTATTTTTATAATTATATCTTGCTAGGCATAATAATTTTTTATTTACATTTGTACCTGTATTATATACAAAAGTCCGACAGCAAAAGTATTAAGTAAGTATAAAGCTTAAAATAATTTAAGTAGAAACTAAGTACCTACAAGATAGAAACAAATTATTTATATATTTACATTATATATTATTATTTATTACAATATTAAGACGATCTATAATATTACAATGATGTACTTAGTGTACCATCTAGTTTTAAACAATAAATATATAAACGAGCGTTGGATTTAATATTAAATCACTAGAGCGCAGCAGAATGCTCGATCCGGATTTAGGGATTATGGGACAACCGTGAAAAACGCAGGAAAAACTGGAAAATCGGTACAATATTGAACAAATATTATTAAAGAAAATATATAATGCTTATTTAATTATTTTACCATAATATGACATGTATATTGTTGACAAAGCATTACTATCAAATGAACTGCGCTCAGAATCGTTTTTTCGTTAGCAATGGTTTATCGTTGTTTACAGGTATACATTAAATTACCTTTAACAATGGCTGCACTCGATCCCATTATCCCAGGATGCCTTTTTTATTATAATTGTGCGTACATTATCAGCACTGTGAACAGTGTTATCTATATCGGCAATACAGAGCACGACCATAAGATAGACTTAGATACCTTAAATCGTGGTACAGAGATTCTATATTATCTATAGTTATCCAGTAACAAGGTGTTTTATGTTAACACAACACTGGTTATCACTTTTTATCATCTCACGCAAGTTATCACAATTTTATCATCAATAATTACTTCAACATTTCAGAGTTTATTAGTCTTTGAACGTTGTTGGTCTTTTTTAAAATTGATGGTTTTTAATACTACGGTATAATATAATAATAATTGTTCATTATTAATGTAACTATACATTAATGAAACGTAATAATCGTACATTCGAATAGAATATAGGTACAAAAATTGCATTACTACCAAATAGTATCCCAGTGGCTAAGTAAATAAGTGTGTACTTAAAACCTAAATAAATACCATTTTTGTTTTTACAGTTAAATTAGTAAAATTGTCGGTGTTTTTGATTATTTCTGTATGTAAAATCTTTAAATTAATGATAAGCTAATAAATAATAATTACTACTTGTATATTATGTTAGAAATAATCTTTTTACAGATAATGAACATTTTGTCGAGTGTCATACTTGAATTATTTGATGGACACACATTTTTACATTTAAAGGAATCAATTTTCAACACTGGGCAGTAACAGTGCTGTGATATCCAAGATGTCTATAAAATATGCCTAGATAATTAGTGCTTATTAATCAGTCTTGAATGTTTTCATACAGCCATTGTTACTGGCGATACAGTCATTTGCTATTGAATATAGAATTATGTGTGGCCGAAGTTAAAGAGATGCTAAGTATTTAGATAAAATAAATAAATTACAAAATATTTTAAATTATAAAAAAAAGGGAATATATTTTCAACTCAGTATCTAAAGCGTTAGGTACATATTAAGTGTTTATATGTTATTTGTTTTATGATTATTTTAATTATTTTACTTATTAAAAAAATTAATATTATGCCATTATAATGTAGGTAGATCACATTATACTCAAATATGCCATTAGAAGAATTTGTTTGTCGGGTACAACGAATGACAAAGTATACAAGTAGACGAATACCTTTTTGATGGAACGTAAAAAAATTATAAGTAACATTAGAATTACTACCGTGTAAATGTAGAACATATTTGGTACACCAAACTTCTTTCTCAGAGTAAGGTTTATTTTGAATTAATTTTATTATTTGGAAATTCAATATTTCCAATTTGTATTCATTTACAGATATCTAAGACAAGGAAAATTTCAATGACTACTTTGAATGGATATAATTCAAACTCAAACTGCACTTCAAATCCACTTCATAGATGAACTCAAAGGGACTCATTAGTATTAGCTCTCTAGTGTTTAAATTTTATATGATATTGTCAGAACTTAGTATTTCAAGAATAGGAAATTTATATTTTTTGTATAGATATATCTGAGGATTTTCTAAATTGTGTTTCACAACCTAAGAGTCACAATGTTCATAAACTAATAAAGAAAAATTTATATATATATAAATGTAAGAAAAATATCTTGATTGTATCTGTATGCCCATACAAAAAAAGAGGACTCAGGAATTTCACTGATATTAAAACAAATTATTTTATTACATTTAAATCAATACTTAATTGCAGTAAATAGTTATTTCCAAAAGACATTTTTGATTTCACAATTTTTAATGGGTTGAAAATCCTATCATTATTTCCATTGAACAGTTGAACTTATATACTTTTCTTGAAACTCTTACTATAAAAATTTTTTGTGATAAAATGTATGCAAATAAATTAAAATTAACTATGATACATTTTTGTAGTGTAGTATATAATGAATATTTAAAACTTTCATTAAATGAGATAACAAAACTATTACTTTTCCCTACCACTTGTAAAAGATTTTGAACTATGCACAATAAACAAAACAAAACAAAGACATACATGACATGCACATCAGTTAATTCGAAGTTGTACTCCAGTGGGAAATATTATGCAACAGCATCCAGAATCAGCCATCACATTAAATCTAAAATCAGCTATAAAATAATTTTATTATCATGTATTAATTTTTTGTATTTTATTTTTATTTTGAAATCCGCCTAAAAAGTTTTGTATATTTATTATAATTATCTATTTGCTATTCAGTATTGTATTATACTAAAATTAAATAATAAAGTTGCTTTAAATAAAAATGTATAGATATCAGTGAAAAGAAATTTATTTTTAAAATGAACTAGTTTGGGTTTCAGGTATTAAATATGAACTACCTAGTTCAAATTTTAGTTTATAGTTTTTAAAAATTAACTAGGTAAAGTTTGTCAAATTGAAATAAAAGTAAATTATTTACATATTACAATATTATTATTTATTTTAAAAATTTTACTGAATATAGTGAGTTGACAAATACATAAACATTTATTATTATAATATATTTACAAAATAAATTAACATTTTTGACTTAAGCACAAATGTAAACATTCGCTATCGAAAGTTTCAGAGTTTAAAAATGTATTTAATAAAATGTTTCACATGAAATTACCACTAACTAATTTAACCATTGTGCAATGGCTAATTAGTACCTAATACATAATATCTAATTAACAATTTATATTTTTCTAATGAAAATTATTAACTGAAAGTACTTGATACAACATAGTATAATAGTAAACATTTATACTAATAAACAGAAAAAAAAAATTAAATATTATCAAATTGTCTGCTTCAGTGTGTAAATAAAATATTAGCAATGGTGGCCATTAACTTATTAAAAAGATAATTTGTTTAAGTTTTTTAACTTAACTAGTTAGTTATTTTTGTTTTTAACTTAATAACTCATTCAGTTAAATTTTGTATTGTTTCAACTTAACTTTTTAGTTAATTATCATTAATTGTGCAGTCAAGTTAATATTAATTTTCTTTTTTTATCATGTGGAATCAATAGTCAAAACTAATTCTTTCGATTTTCGTAATTTCTTCTTTTAATAATATATTAATCTATACAAGAAAATAGTAATAATTAGTATATTATTTTTTGTATTGATTTTCATGAGTTTTATCTAGTGATCTACTCAGTAATGAATAATTTGAGATGATGTTTTTATTTAAACATAAAAAATATCTTGATTGTTCATTTTTAATTTTAAGAACATTGAAATTCTTAAAGCTTATTTTATTTCTACCAAAAGTATGGTATTTTCCTGTTGTAATTTGTTGGTTGTAAGTGNTTTAATTTTAAGAACATTGAAATTCTTAAAGCTTATTTTATTCCTACCAAAAGTATGGTATTTTCCTGTTGTAATTTGTTGGTTGTAAGTGTTAAGTTGACAATTTTAAATCATGAATTGTTTTTATTGTTATTGTTATTTGTTATTATAATTATTATCATACAGCCTTACTGGTAGTACATTACAGTTAGTAAATGTCTAACAGAATAATGGAATAAATAAATTATACAATCTAAGTATAAAATGTTATTTGTTTTTGGTATTATGTAAAATGTTTTAAAAACAATATTATTTTAGCATCTGGCTACTTTAGGTACTAGGTACCTATCACTTAATCAGTACTAGGTATGCATTATTTTCCTTGTTTAATACTTTTGAATAATTTTTCTTACAAACAAACATTAATAGTTTATACAGTGTATTTTTACTTTATAGGTTTTTAGAATTTATGATTTGATTTATACTAGGTAATCAAACAGTTTGTTTTTAGATTTTTAAGGACAATTATCATTATGGTTGTTTTTAAGTTTTATACTTCTATAAAATTTAATATATATTATGAAATATAACAAGTCTAACAAAGATAGTAGATTTACTCACAGTAAAACTTATATTTAATATCTTCTCAAATAAGTTACAACTATAAACTAGGTAGGTATCATAAATAGTTAAATGTTATTAAGTAATATTTATCAAGCTTTTTTTTTTTTTTAAGGGGTGAGAGTGTTGAATGATTGGAGAATTAGGTAATTTATAATTATTGATTTTAGTATTATTAGTATCTGATAACAATTAACATGTGAATATTTTTATATAATAATTGTGCTATATATTTTACGGTTCAGTTGAAATTATTAATCTTAAATAATAAATTATGTGTAGATGTAGCCTATAAGTTTTTAGTAACAATGTACTATAATAACAATTTAATGTTTTATATTTGCGCTAGTTTTAGATGTTTTTGTAAATTATTGTATGAATCAAAATACTCCGGCAATTTATGGCGTAGACAAATTTAGTTAAGTTAATTACATATAATTCTTCTAATATTAATTCTATCTTAACTTTTAACTTATCTAGTCAAATTTTTTTTGTTAATTTTGTAACTTTAATAGAACGCAATTTAATTGAATTGATTTAACTTGCCACAGTTAATTATTTTCATTAACTTGCATTAACTATTATCCACCTTTGAATATTAGCAATAAACATAACAGTTACTAACCACATTTAATTTGTCAACAAACAAACCAAAAATATTCATGTTCATAAAAAATTAATTTCTTGAAAATAACATGTGTGCTCATGTTCAGTTCAAATAAGAATTAACAGGTTCTTCCCATCACTGATAAATATTATACCTACAAAATATTGAATATTACACTAGGTATTCTCAATTATTTTCACTGTACCTATTTATACATGTTTATTTAAAGACATAAGACATAAGATATGACTTATAAGACCTGAACTATACAAATGTTAGTAAATAATTGCTTCTAAGTGCATCCTAATGTTAATCACTCACTCAAAATTAAAAATTCCCATGTTAGAAAATGCTGGTTTTTTCTAATTACTGTTTCTAAAATTCAATTTATTTAATTAATAATAAATTATAGGTCATATTTAATATACATGTAAACTTTTTAATTTACTGTATTATAGTATTTTATTATACATTAATTAATTCTATTGTAACTTCCAATTTTAGTAATCATTTTCCAAAATATAAATAATTGAGAAACCTGATTATAGCTGATCAAAATAATATGTATTAAAAATTGAAATTGTATTATTAGTACATTTAAGTTTAGAAACAAAAATTGTTACCATTAAAGTAAGATACTAAACATAAAATTGTGCCAGATCAATATTTATAGCAGAGATAAACCTCGATAGGTAGGTCAAAAGTAAAATATTACTTTGTTACCAACATGATTATGATTCTACCTTACCTAACTTTGTTAATATTGGAAATTGAAGCCACTTATTATCAAACAAACACTATAAATTCTATTTTTATAAAATATTTAAAGATGATATATACCTACAATAGTGACCTTGTTATGTGAACAACTTTAAACGCTTTTTAAAATTATCAACTATAAATATTAAAGGTAGTTGAAACTTAGAGAATTACATTGATCATAACCTTAATGTATACATCTTACAAAAAAGTTTTAAATAGGCCATAATTTATGCTTCCTTATAAATCGCCAGTTAAATTGATCGTCAAAATAATTTAGTAAATTACATTTATGTAGAAAGTAACTTTCTGGGTTTGTAAATGTTAGTATTTATAAATACCTATGGATATCACTGGAGTTCACTAGAAAAGTTAAATAGTTTGTCTAGGGCATTCTAAAATTAATTGGATTTTCACATCATCGATAAGTAGATACAGATTTCAAAACCTTATTGTCTATAGTCATTGATTAATGCAAATAGTGTGATGTAACTTGACAAAAAAAAAAAAAAAAACAGAACACCTACATTAAGAGTGAAAAGTGTAAGTTAAAGATAAATTAATACATATGGGTTGGTTAAAAGTATAATTTCGAAAAATAACTGTTATTAAAGACAAATAAATATGGAAATTGGATTGATAGGTAGATTATAATATTGTGGTATTAGAGGTGAAGCTTTAGATTTATTTTCATCACACCTAACAAATAGATCACATGTAGGATCACATGATTTACCTATAGTAATAGGTACCCACTCTAATAACTAAACAGTAGTCCCATAAGGTACAGTTCTTAGGACGATTTTATTTATTATTTATATATGTTAATGGATTATTGTATTTTAATACAAATGAAACTATTTTTGCATGTGCAGATGATAGGTACGGTAATTTTAGTTAAAGCGAACAGTATGAATGAATTAAAGGAATTATCTAATTCCCGTTTAAAATCAGTTGAAAATGAATTAGACAATAATATGTTAGAACTTAATTTAAATATGTCTAGGTATATATATTTTCGTTAATCATATGCATCTCTTAATTTTATAGAAACTTTAGTGATTCATAACTTTGACTGTTTACAATCGGATAATTATTTATGCTTAGGTAGGTATTCAAAATATAGATTTTATAAAGTAGGTATTTAGGTTTTATGGTTTATAGACAATTTAAATGGTCGTATCATATAGGTATTTAATACAGTATATTACCGTATTAATTCGTAAGCTTTTTTATATTTTTAAACAATTTATTTTTCACTCGTACAAACAATAACTAGTTTTAGTATAGAATTCTGAGGCGGAACGTACAATACCCATCTTGCGGGCTTAGAGACTTCAATATGTTGGTTGGTAAAAATAATTTTGTAAAAGCCTAGGTTTTATCCGAAAATCTATTTGTTTTGTGATTTTAAAGTACTAAATTTATTTAAACCTATATTATAAAAAAAAAACCTTAAATCTGTTTAGAACTGATGTGACGATATTTAAACTGCATCATGTTTACAATACATAAAAACTTTAAGTAGGTAATTTAAATTGTATGAAAATTAATAAAAAATTTGGAAAATTCAATATGGTTAATATAAGAATTAATTTGGTAGCAAGTTATGCATGTTATAAATACCTATGGATATCACTAGATTTATACCAAAACAATGTTAGTAAACTATTTTTATACTAAATAATTTTAAACTAATTTTAATACTTTTGTCACACAATCATGAAAGAAAACTGTTCAGTGTAACCCCAGTGACTAGTGTAAGTTATTACTCGTATAATTACAGCCTAAAATATGTTTTATTTAAAACAATTTTTAAATATAATCAAATTTAAAGTCCAGTAATAACTTCTAAAGAGCTGATACTATTGATGGGTGCACATCTGTTGTGGATGGAAAGTTTAAAGTTATTTAATTGGTCGGCACTCAAGCGGCTCCTATAGTCTCATCCATTGTTTTTTTTTCCAAACGGCTCCCGTCGAAAAAGGTTGCACGAGTAGGTAAATTCCCAAACGGCTCCGGTATTCGATATTACGCGTACATTTCTCGTAACAAAATTAGAAGACACAAAAAACATTCGTGTCACATCTTACTTTTTACGATAACAGGGTCTATTGAATCTATTCAAATTATTGGAGTTTGAATTTTACGTTCCAAATATTATACGCCTGTATGGATTGTTGCAGTTAAACGAATTTTATTAACTTATCGAATTTCATCAATTTTGTATACAAAATTTATTCGGATAGGCGATATGGATATGACACATTTTGTTTATTTGTGAATTTGTGTTGTAAAAAACAGGAGCCGTTTGAGAATTTTCTTTTTTGTAAAACGGGAGCTATTTGGGAATTAATATTTTTGTAAAACGAGAGCCGTTTGGAAAAAACGAAAGCCGAATGGGCTACATCCATTGAATTTATATCTGTAAGTAACAATAAACTATTGATAAAGAAATACAATTTTGAAAGAAGTTCGGTTATACATGATTTGAAAAGCTGTAATATCTATAATTTTCATCACAGTTTGATCTTAAAACTATTATAAAAAAAACTACTACATTTCAGTGAATTTTTTTACCACTTAGCACAACTTATTATAATGAAACTCCGGTTAGCATTATTTTTCGATTAAATAATTTAATCCACATTATACCTACTAAAGTAAAAATCTAAGTATAAAGGTTAGAAAATATAAAATGCTTATAAATAGCTCAAAAATATTTTTGGAATATTTAGAAAATTTCATCACGTCTAGAAATGGAAAATATAAGTTTTCTGTTAAAATGTCAAGTTTTTACGAATATTTTAAAC